GTCTAACGGAGCAATTATATCAGGACGACTTTGAGGCGCCAATATAATCGTAAGCAATGTCAAAAATCAAAAATGATAGGCATAAAAATTATTTTAGATAGATATTTGATGATTCTTGCTGTTCGTTCTATGGCTATGCGCACGAATAAAAAGATGCATAGCCCTTTCGTTCGAGCTTTGTTCCCTCGTCTCCAATATGTTGCACCCTACACTAGTATGATCCAGTGTCTTCCTTATTTCTTTGTTGACCAAAGTGGTTTAAAATACGCGCTTACATAAGTTTCTAGTAACGGTGCCTTACAGCCTTTTGAGTTGCCTGATTTATATAGCGCAGATTGATATACGGTCATTGGTGCGCGGTTAGTTAAAGGACAACTCAACCACAACCTCTGAGTAGTAAGCAGAAATTAAAACCAGGTGAAATAACTTGCATTAGAAGAAAGGCTAGCTTTCATAAATTGTTGCCTATTTATGGATAAAATAGCCACTGTTAACACGACTCTCCAGTGTACTGCCGCAACATGATAGCTGTATCGTGATTTTGAAGCATGTTGATGACCGTGGTATCGCAAAATTCTTAGAGCACAGCAGGCAGGTTTAAAAGTCCTCTTGTTTATTTTTCAGATTTTTCAGATTCGACTAGGAGACTGTTGGACTTAAAATGGTACTAAAATAAATAAACTATAGAAGGGGTGGTTCAGTTAATGCTCACAAACTAACGTTAGAAATAGCTAGTCTGTGCGATGGTTGGACCTTATCTGCACTATTTGTCCAAATCGGAGCTTGCATCATTTACCAAACAGAGACTGTCTTGAATGCAAAGTAGTTATAAGATGGAATGTATGGACTGTCTGTCACGGGCATAGGCCAAAGTTGACTATTCCAAGAGTATTTGAATGAGCACTTAGCCAGTACGAGATATAAAGGCTTCGTAGGTCACTTTGGGAAGCATAAAAAGGAGGGAGATAACAGACTTGATTTTGATGTAAATTGCAAAATCTTGGGAAAGGAGGACTACAACTCGGCACAAGGAGCTCGTTGCGTCCAGAATTCTTGCGCTTAGCTTTTGAATGAACAGAAGAATTAGCATTTATTTATCACGAATAATCTTCAGCAGTTTCCATTATTAGTGATCTTTGAGATTCCTTACGACTTTAAAAGCGCATTAAAGCATGGATTATACACTTCTTTTTACGCTTTCTCGTGAAACATCAAATGGGTGTGAGTGGCTGTGGACTGATGAATTTGTACGAGGGAAGAGGTGTTTAGGGGTAGGATGTAGGGAAAGAGTGATCGCTTCTAACACTTAGTAAAGTAACCGCATATTTTCTGTA